GCGCCCATTTGCCATTTTCTAGATAGGAATATTTGCATATTCTTTTTATATGTTTCCTCAAGGGCTGGGATTAGAAATTTTTATTTACATGCATATCCATTTGTGATATTCATGCATAGCTAGTAAAAAAGTGAGTGATGTGTCTTTGTAGGGTCAAAGAAAGATACGAAAGAAACAAAAAGAATGACACATTAGATTAAGCCAGAAATTCATTCATTCTAGCAGTGTGTGGGATAGAGTATACCAAATAAATGTGGAAATATGATGTGGGTGTTTGTCATCTCACTGTGCTTTCTGATTAAAGGTAGTTTATAAACCACCTTGACTCCTCTTTAAAAATACATTAAGGTCTGCATGTCACACATTTTCTTGAACTTTCTTTGGATATTTTCATATTTTTAGTCCCCTGTATACACTGCTTAGATTCATCATGACATCTAAAGTAGTCTTTGGTTCATGGTGAGTAATCAATAAATATTCATCTAAATATCATCTGGTTACCCAACACGGCATTAAGAGACTTTGATTGCTAGGATAACAAACTATGTGGATTATGTCCAAGGCAAAAAGAAGTGGGTCCTTTTATCCTACAGTTTTTTTTTTTTTTTTTTGGAAGATTTATTTATTTATTTATATTTGAGAGAGAGAGAGAGAGAGAGAGGATGAGTGGGGAAGGGACAAAGGGAGAGGTACAGAGAGAATCTCCAGCTGACCCCCGCCTGAGCAGAGAGCCTAATGCGGGGCTTCTGGGGCTCCACCCCATGACCCTGAGGTCATGACCTGAGCCGAAATCAAAAGTTGGTTGCTTAACCAATTGAGCCATCCAGGTGCCCCTTATCCTATAGTTTTGCCTTTTAAACTTCTGTGGATGTTTAGAATTACAGAATTTCTTAAGTCAACAATGTAACATTTAACCTAAACCTACTCTTTATGTCAGATGATAAAACATAGAAATTAGAAACTTAGTATTTGTTCTGGCTTGGCACTTTCTTTTCGACCCAACAGTTTGTTTATTAAGCAGATAAATTCTGGTTTCATTCTAGAATTTTTTTGTACATCAAAGAGCTATTAAAAGAGCTAAGAGCTTTGGTAATAGAATTTAAATGTAAGTGCAATCCACATTTCAGAAAAGCCCAAACACTTAACTATATGAATGAAGAATGAAAGCTGCATTTATAAAATAAAACCAAAATGATTTCTTGGGAAGAAAAATGGTCAGCTGTGAAACAATGACAGTTTTTCTTGTCAGCAGTTGGTTCATAAACCTAGTTATTAAATCTAAGTTGCATCTCTATTAAAAGTCTATTTAGCCAAGTATCTTTGTAAAAAATTATAATACTACTAATTATGAATATAATAGCAACTTTTAGGTATAGTTAGTTCTTTTTAAGCCATTTCATTGGTCAAACCTCTTCCTTTATTTTTTGAAAACATTTTCATTAGTAGTGTTTCATGGCTAATTTGACATGAAATTTGTTTTTAAACTCTAATGGTATTGAAATTATAGTTTATTTTTTAGTCAGGATTGAGCCCTATACTTGACAAGAGAAGAATTATTGTTGACTAGGAATTTAATTGAAACTTTTCATTAAGCTCACTCCAAGTACATAGTTTGGCTTTTTACTTGTATATTTCTGTAAATTTTTAGTCCCTTGATATGATAAAGAATTTGCCCCCGTCAACATATATCTTGGAGATAGATTGATCTGCATTTCAATCCCGGCCCTATCTCATAATAGTTGTGTGACCTTTAGTGATATTATCCTTCTGAATCTGTTTCATTTGTGCTAATAATCTTGACTGTGGAGGATTTTTGAGGAGAAATAAAGATTATATATATAATACTTATAATAATTATATTATAATTATATATTATTTTATAATTACATTTTATACATTTATATATAAAATTTACATATTTATATATAAGATATATATTTTGTATATTTATTATAATTCTATAATTATATTAATTATAATAATATAGTAATTATAATATATGTTATATGTTTCTATAATATATATGTAAAAGGGGCATTTTTGTGTGTGTGTGTTTGCATGTAACTTGTGAATATGATGCTGGCATTCTTCTGGAGATATAATTATGTGATAATACTAGGAAAACTCTGAGTAAGAAGACTTAGGAGACTAAACCTTTAGGATATTAAAACATATTATAGGGAATAACCTCTGGAATAATGGTATAAGGAGCTTGGTGAACTCTCTACCTAGAAAAACAATAATTTCACTGATGAAAAGTTAAAAAAAACCAACAGTCATATAAAGCTCTGAAAATTGTCCTAAGGGCAAAGGAGAAAGTATCGTTTAAGAAAATCTACTAATCATCAAAATTAAAAACCTTGGTCCTTTAAAGGACAGCATGAGAAAAATAAAAAGACAACTCACAGAATGAGAGAAAATATTTGCAGATCATATATCTGACAAAGGAATTTTATCCAAGATATATAAAGACCTCTTATAATTTAATAATAAAATCCACTTGAAAAATGGACAAAAAATCTGAACAGAGACTTCTCCAAAATGTGTAAGTGGCCAATAAACACATTAAAAGATGCTTAGTATCAACAGTCATTGGAGAAATGTAAATCAAAACCATGATACTCAAAAGAATTTAAAAAACAAAATGACATGTTAGGTCACACATACTTGGATGCTTATAATTAAAAACCAGGTAGTAACAATTTGTTATTAGTGGGGATGTGAAAAAATTGGAATTATCAGACACTTGAGAATGTATAATGATGCCCCCCACTTTGGAAAACAGTTTAGATGTTTGTCAAGGAATATTATTCAGGCATAAAGAGAAATGAAGTACTAACCAGTGGTTCATTATGGATGAACCCTGAAAACATCAAGCTAAGTGAAAGAACCCGGGCACATAAAGCCACATAGTGTATGATTCCATTTATATGAAATGCCCAGAGAAGGCAAATCTGGAGAGCTAGAAAGCACGTTAGGGTTGCTGAGGGCTGAAGAGACTGAATGGGGAGTGATTGCTGATGGGTGTGGGGTTTCTTGCTGGTGTGATGAAAGTGTTCTAAAATTAATTGTGATGTTGGTTGTACAACTTGAATCTATTTAAAAAAAAAAACACTGAATTGTCTATTTTCAATGGTTGAATTAGATAGTATGTAAATTATATCTCAAGCTATTAAAAAGAAAATTGATCAATTTTCAGTAAGAGCTGTGAGAATCTATAGCATTTGAATGGTGGTCTGTTCCATAATCCCCTTTTCCACCCTGCTCTGTGTTATAGAAGCTGTATCCAGGCACTGTAGACAAGAAGATGGGCGCTTCCTCTCTCCTTGGCTCTTAGCTGGGGGTTATGATTTCTTCTGGGGAGAGGCAAACAGTTGTACTATCTCATCCCTCAGAGCCCTGTGTTGCAGCAGTTCTATTCCAGGCAGGCATGGGTGAGGGGACCAGATCGCTCTTCCTCTACCTACACCGCACTTGTAATGCAGTCTTGGCAGGCCAAGAAAATTGGGGCCAACTGCACTCTTCTTTAACTTCATTCTTCTTTCCAGTTACTTCCCTTCATCTCTCCTTCCCTTCTTATCAGGGAATGGTTGTCTAAACTTCCTGTTTCCACTGACATCTCTCTTGCTCAATTAGGACTAAAACATGTTACTACTTCGTCAACCTATTTCAGTCTGAGTTATAGCAGATTTTATCAAGGTCACCAATGACCTCTAAGTCCATTGAACACTTCTTAGTCTCCATTTTGCTTGAATATTCTGTGACACTGGACATAATTGACACCTCTGTCCTTCAAATGGTCTCGGTTTCCATGACGCTATACTTTCCTGTTTTTCTTCTTCTTTTTTCAGTCTGCTTTGCTGGTTTTTTATTTTCTAACTTTTTTTTTTTTTTTTAAATGTTCAGTTGGTTGACCATATAGTACATCATTAGTTTTTGATGTAAGGTTCAGTGATTCATTAGTTGTTCTCTGGAGTTCCTTAAGGCCTTGTCCTAGGCTCTTTCTCTTCAGCCAAACGCTTTCCAGGCAAGCCTCAGGTAATATCTGTAGGTGATTCCCAAACCCATTCCTGACTTCTCTTCTGAGCTTTATACCATTATACCTAGCTGCCTCCCCTATTTTTCTATTTTATTTGTTGTTTATTAATTCAAATATATTTATTTAGGGCCTGTTATTTTCCAGGCATTCTGCTGGTACTGAGAGTGTCTTCAAGGTATTTCCAATGGAATGTGATTGAAACAGAATTCATGATTTGTACTCTCTGCCAAAAAAAAGCAAGCAAGTAAATAAACAAAAATACCCCAGATAAGACCTTCTCTACTACCATTGTTCTCACTGTACTACTGAAATCTGCCAGTTCTTTTAGCCTGAAACTTGGGATCACTCTTGACTCTTCTTTTTATCTGAGCATGGACCCGACTTCATCAAGTCCATCCAATCTGATCCAATTAAATTGAATCCAATTTAATGCAATCAGTGTAGTCTACCCCAATTCAGTATCACCAAGGGCCTGGCCATTCCATTTTCTAGGTATTCTGCCCCCCACCCCTTTTCCTTTTCACAGCCAAGACCCTAGCCTATGCTACTGTTACCTCTTGAGTCAACCGCTGTGGGCACCATCCGGCAGTTTGCCACATGACTGCGACTTTGATCTTTTAAAGTATTTCCTAATTCCTCTCTGTCTCAGTTTTCTTATCTGTAAAGTTGGGATAATAATAGCCCTTCCCTCTTGGATTGCCATGAGGATAAAAAGGATTATTATATATAAATTAGTGCCAGGCACCAAGACCTCAGTAAATTGTTATTGAGACCTTATACAGAATTACATTAAACCAAGGAAAAGGTATGATTAAGACAGAAAGAGGTTTATTAATAATAGATTTGAATGAGGGTAATTATTAGCTTGCTTATCCTTAGCAATGCTGTATATATTCACACAAATCTGCAGCTCTTATAATACATGACCTTATTATGTGTATATTGTTTTCTTAATTAAAAGGCTAAGAAGCACCAGGCCTTTCTAGTAGAGACATGTGAAAATAACGTGAAAGAATTGGAATCGATCTTGGACAGCTTTTCTGTGTCGGGCCAGTGGACATCAGGTTAGTTGAAGGTATAAAATGACAGATGCATCTGTCAATGTTCCAAAGTCACTACATTTTGGGAATTCTGCAGATGCCTCTTCCAGTCCCTCATCTCAACATGTTTCGATCTGATGACATGATAAGAGCAGTTCTCACAGCAGTCAGTTGGCCTAGCTGGCTGAGAAAGGGTGACGGAATGTGGACCTGCTGTTGTCCTCCCAGAACTTGATTTACAAGTGTTGGGGTCTGTATGATTGGACAGACAAGGGCTCACTTGCTGTGTTCTGAATCCAACTGAGAAAAAAGTCCTTACAGTATACCTGCAAGGGGAACAGATGTTTCCATCAAACTGAGCCAAATTCTGAGGCAACCTTCAACAACTTAAAGGTCATGCATTCAAAAGGTTATGTAGGACACAGCCTGTAACAGCGTGCATATGCTAAGCCAGTTTTCTCCTTCACTTCCTACTACCACACATACACTCTCCAGAGAAGAGTGCTTAGGTGAAATATTTTGGTTTTCGTATTAGCACGGTTAATAAGATAAAGAACTATAAAAATTGCATATTAGGTAGGCATATTTTGGGAACTAGAAGCAGCACTAGCTGGTTAACGAATGCTGTCCATGATTTCAACTTTCTTAATTTTTTTGTGTATATGCCATTATGTGTGTAATAGGAACTTTGACCTAAATCCTTTTACCTTGCTACCTCAATTTTCTTTTGCCAAATCATCAGCCTCGAATTACTCTTTTTTTCTGACTCAGTTGTATTCTTCAAAAGGCATGTAAAATTAAATTCATTACAATTTAAAATTGAGCTATTGGGCTCTGTTTTTTTAAGGAATCAAACAGATTTTGGGCCAATTAGTTCTTTAAGGAACTTGTAAGTTATAGAAAGTGTGTCATGCTTGAAAAAGCAGAAGGATATGACCAAGGCCCATTATTACTTTATGGATCTGCGGATTTGTGCCGGTGAGCTATTAGAGATTTATTGTGTTTTATTATTATCTGGTTTTTTGGGTCTGTTTTTAGCCTTCCTACTAGTTTAGCAGTCTTTCATGAAATGAACTTGTAATTTTTCTTAAAATTTAATCTTTTACCCAAAGCATTAGTGTTTTGTGGTTTGTTACTGTGGGGACATAAAAAATATAGATATCCAGTGTTCAATTATATTTGCTAAAGCTTTGGAGAGTAAAATTTTCTTTTGTAATTGTACTGTTTTATTATTGAGATGTGTCATTGCTTAATGGTTTTAGGAGCTTTAAAAATTGTTAAATTATTATCTTAGTATAGCTTATGCTTCAATGTTATTTTAAATATTTCTTCAGAGCTGAATTCAAAAAACTAAAAATAATGCCACATCTTTTTTGAATTTTAAAATGAAATAGTTGATAACAAAGTAACTCACAGGCTATTGCTAAGCCTATTGAAGAAGACTATTAAAGTTTTTCCTTTTCTTTTCATCTTTTTAACTCCTAGTTTCCCATATATAGGCACAGCCTATATATTATAGAGAAAGGGTTTCTGGAAAAGGGACTGTATGGTGAATTAGTGATTTTCGTATTGCTGTAGAGTTGTTTTGTTTCCATATGGTACTGCTTATTCACTCTTTCACCCACCAAGAACCATTCTTCCCTGATCTGTTAAATGGAAGCCCAGGACCAGAGTGAAATCAGGTCCTAAGCAGGTAAGCGTGTCAGCCAGCATGCCAGCAGGAAGAGATGGCACTCTCTAAAGAGTTAGTCAGAAGAGAATTTAATCAAGCTATCTATGGAAATGTGGACAGGATAAGAGAACCAATAAGGTAAGGTAAGACAGGGGCACCTGGGTGGCTCAGTCAGTTAAGCGTCCAGCTCTTAGTTTCAGTTCAGGTCATGATCTCATGGGTCATGGGATCAAGCCCCCCGTGGGGCTCTGCACTCAGCAGGGAGTCTGCTTGAGATTTTCTCTCTCTGCCCGTCCCCCCACTTGTGGGCATATGTGTGCATGCGCGCGCTCTCTCTCTCAAATAAATCTTAAAAAGGAAAAAAAAAGAGATAGGATAAGACAGCAAGAAGAAGCCAGAGTGGAAACCCCATGCCTAAGCCTAAAGGGTCCAGTGGAGGGCACATTGTCACCATAGTCTGATACAAGGCACAGGACCTGCCTGACGAGAGCTGTGGCTGCTAAAAAATGAGGAACGCATTGGAGCAGAGGAAACAGAAGAAATGAATACCCTGACATTCTCTTCTTTCCTTTTGTTTCTTTCTCCCTCCACCCTCTTGATCACCTACAAGTACACTCACTGCCCAAATCCAACCAGAAGCCAGAGGGCAGAGGAGCCCAGATCATGTAGTCTCTAGAGGTCAGCCTTCACCACAAGGTGAAACATTGTTTGTTAAAATAATTTAACAAAACCTGTCACTTCTGGAAATACCTTGATGAAATTCTCTTCTGAGAGTTTAGAGAGTACCATCTCTCTTCCTGCTGGCACCTGGGCTGATCTACTTACCTGCTCAGGACCCGCTTTCCCTCTGGACCTGGGCTTCCGTGAGGCAGCCATGGGAGACTCCGATGGATTCCCTTTCTGCTTACGCTGGTTCAGGGTGGGGTTTTATTACTTCATGGAGGGCTATAAATAATAAGCTTTATTGCTTAATATGGAAGGACCTGCACAATTAGGATTGTCTGCTATGTCAGGCCTGGCTTTGTCTCCATGAAGATGAACAAATATTTTGCTCCTCACAAATAAGGTCACATAAGAACTTATCCTAGACTAACTTGTCCTCTGTACCTGTGTGATATAAACATGTATATAGCTCACAGTATATATGTTTTTGAGGACAAGTCTGTTTCAAAGAGAAACAGGGTGTTACTATGTGATGATAGGGCAGCCTTAGAATTTGTTACAGAATTAATTCAGTCACCTCCAGAAAGGTTTTCCAGAGAGATCCTCTGCTCTGCAGTATGGGCAGTAGACAACAGTGCTTAACTTCCTTTTGTTACCTCTTCCTACCTTTCAGTTCAAGATACTGGTAGCAATCCATGGTAGAAATTTTGATGGTCACAAAATTTGTTGTTGTTGTTGTTATTTGTTTGTTTTGTTTTTACTTGCTTTTTAAAATGGGGTGAATGAAAATTATTTTCTTGGATGAATTTTCATCCAGAGTTGGCATGAGTTGCCAGCTGTTCTCTTCCCCATCTTCTTCAGCTTCTGCGGTCGGTCCTCTACGTTAAGTGTTTCTGAAGTAACAGTAACCCATCCGCTTATCTTGGTGTAGCAAATGAGGCCAAGTTTCAGTTAGTGTCAGACCTTCAGGAATTTATTTACTTAGAGGATTTACTTTGATTTTTTCATGGGTGATCAGTGTGGTAGTTCACACCTTGTTTCCTAGTGCCTCCAACCCTGCTCCCTCTGGCTGCCTTTCTCTCCGTCCACCCTGCTCCCTCTGGCTGCCTTTCTCTCTGTCCACCCTGCTCCCCACTGCAGTCTGTTTTCTCTGTAGCCACCAGGATGATCATTTGAAAACCCAAGACAGAGCATGTTATTTCTTTGCTTTAAATCTTCCTGGGCTCTGCATTTCATTAAGCATAGAAGCTGAAGTACTAGCAGTGGCTTGGAAGACCCAACATGGTCTGCCCCTGTCCTTTATCACCCCTTTGACTTCCCCTGTACCTCTTTCTGTTTTGGCCCCTCTGGCCTCTTTTTGCTTCTGGAGCACACCAAGCATGCTCTTGCCTTGGGGGCCATTGTGCTGGCTATTCTTTCTGGAAACTTACCTGGAAAGTTCTTTACTTAGATGTGTCTGCATAGCTCTCTCTCATCTTTTCATTTTATTTATTTAAAAATTTTTTAAAAAGATTTTTTATTTTCTTAAGTAATCTCTACCCCCAACGTGGGGCTAGAACTCAGAATCCCAAGATCAAGAGTTACATGCTTTACTGACTGAACCAGCCAGACCCCTCTCTCTTGTCTTTGTAAATCTATGCCCAGGTCTCACTCTGATGCGTACCTGCTACTTATTCCCATGCCACTTGTCTCACTACCTCTCCCTTTTCTCTTCTACTTCTTTTCTTCCCCATAGCACTTATTGCTGTCCAACATTTTTAACACACTACATGGTGCATTTTTTTTATCAGTGTTAGAATTCTCTGAAGAAACAGAACCAGTTGAATAGATGTAGGAGTGGCTCACGTGGTTATAGAGCCTGGGAAATCCCATGACCTGTTGTCTGCAAACTGAAGACCCAGGAAAGCCAGTGGTATAATTCAGTCTGAATCCAAAGGCCTGAGAACCCGGGGCTCCTGGGGTCCGAAGGAGGATTTGGAAGTCCCAGCTCGAGAAGAAAGAGAGAATTTGTCCTCCTTCTGCCATTTTGTCTGTGATGGGGGGATAAGGAGGCAATAGATTGGATGATACTAGCCCACATTGGTGAGGGCAGAGCTCTACTCAGTCTACGGATTCAAATGCTAATTTGCTTCAGAAACACCTTCACAGACACACCCAGAAATGCTTTGCCAGTTATCTGGGCACGCTTAGCCCAGTCAAATTGACACATAAAATTAATCCTGACAATATCCAAGCTCCATGAAGTCAAGGGTATTTGTCCCTTTTATTTACTAATGTACTTTAAGCAGCTAGAAGATTCCTTGGCATAAAGCAGTCACTCAGCAAATCTTGGTTGCATATTAATGAATAAAAGTGTGAATGAATTAATATCAGGTCAAAAGTCCATTTTGCATTTTAATTTTTGAGGTTATAAAGGTAGTCATGGGGCACCTGGGTGGCTCAGTGGGTTAAGCCTCTGCCTTCAGCTCAGGTCATGATCTCAGGGTCCTGGGATCGAGGTCCCCATCGGGCTCTCTGCTCAGTGGGGAGCCTGCTTCTCCCTTTCTCTCTGCCTGCCTCTATGCCTACTTGTGATCTCTCTCTCTGTCATATAAATAAATAAAATCTTTAAAAAAATAAAGGTAGTCATGGAGTTTCTTTCCAAATTATAGCAGCCTTTTGGGTAGCAATCCATATGGAATCATCAGGA